AATCGGGTCTCCAGTATTCGATTAAAGCACATTGCAAACTAAAATTGCGAAATTGCGAAGAGAAATTAATTGCGAAAGGCTCAATCTGAATCGGGGCATTTTACTACCTTTTTACTACCTTCTGGTAAAGGGATCGCAACCAACCATAATTTGGGGTAAAGAGTAGAACTAATGTAAAATTATCAATATTTTCAACTCATGAGACACAACATCAGGAAATGCATGCCAAAGAAGAGCTCATGAAACTGCCACGGTTGTGAGATTACGAATTTAATTTTCAAGTGCGTGTTTCAAAACTTTTGCGTCTAAATTTTGGACAATTGAGCCCAAACTGAAAAACAACAGCTAAAGTGTCGTGCTCCTGAGAGGAACACATTTGTTTAAATAATCATTACCGCAAGCACCGGTCTTTTGTAAAACTAATCAATGTACGCCATTTAAGTGACCACTTATCACCAGTTATTATCACTTCATTATTATTGTTTTTCACCGAGTATTATTATTACATATTATTATTAACAATTATCAATACCAATTATTATCATTACAAATTGTTTTGATGAAGTTGAGCATTATCAAGAGAAAGTTACCGTTTTGGAAGAACTCCTCCTCACTCACAGATACAGCCTCTTCGGAAATGTTTTCGTTTATTATCGTTACAGGATCTTCTGGATCCTCGGGCTATAAAAATCTAATTATACAGTTGTCAGGAAAATTAAATTTTAAGAAAGTAAATTCAAATTTGGTCAACTATGATACATCCGCTTGCTCCGTCGATGTCGTTCCCTCTGTGAGGAGTTTTCGAGTCGATGGCGGACGAGTTATCCGAGGTCGTGATGTCGTCGTTAGTTTTGGATAGCTACGAGTAGGATGAAAATCTGGACCACCATATCGCTGAAATAGTAGAACTTAAAGTTGTTAGAGTCGCACATCAGATAATATACCTATGTAAGAACCCTGCAAACTCCAGATAAATTTTTATATCTTACCTTGTGGTTACAAGGAATCAAAATGAACGTTCTTCAGCTAACTGTTCACATAAAAAGAACGTGAACCGATCAATTACCACAAAGACGTTGCGGCCTGTTTCTTACATCTTGATTTATTGTGGGGACGCTTGCATTTGTAAAAAATCCCGTTTGTCGTTGGGTGAAATCACTGATATGATGATTTCTGGCCCAGAGCTCATCAACAATTATCTTCAGGACCCGTATCCAGGAATTTTTTCCAAAAACATGTACCGCGGCGTCACAGGCCTTATTTCAGCGGTTGGCTCATGAGGGATGCATGGCGCACTCCACTGGTATAAGACTTCCCAACTCTTGAATAGCCATCTTTCTTACCTCACACTACCAATGAAGACCAATCACTTCGAGTTATTGACAAGTGCTGGAGAAATTTGAGAGTTTGCCTACATGGTTTACAGCATCGCATCCCACTCAGCCACTTCTAATTTTCTTCCCTTATCAGGAATAGGATGACTGGTCGAAGTGGCCATGTGATGAGACCTACACCCTTGGATGCGTTTTTGGACGCTGATCTCGAATGCTTTCCAAATCTGCCAAACGATTTTCCGAATGGAGTTATGAAGGAAAGTAGTGCAGCGGTAGTAGTCCGAGCTCGGCGCAAGACGTCGTAGGATCTAATTTCGTGGCGGGTTCTCTTTTTTGCCTTTGCTGCAACATGGTTGAAAAAGGCTTCCTACTACCTAACCTCGATCAACGCTTATTACCGCTTATTTATTACCTCAACCAACATTTCCCTATTGTTACCCGTGTAAAGAGTTCGAGAGGAGTGTCGGCTTCTGGGTCACCCTGTTCTGTTCGTTTAGAGCTACAACATACCAGCTGTTTCTGTCTCTCCTAAAGCAACAT